CTACTCCAGTTGTCGACATTGAGAGTGAAACTCATAAGAAAGCTCAAAAATGTAGAATTTAAGAAACTAGGAAGTAAAAGAATCGTACTTCCAAAGGTATCGTAAGCCATACAGAGGAAACAGAGGCCACCGGATCTAAGTATATGAAAGATATAACGATCTTGAGAGAAGCATAATCTTGAATCGGCCTCGTCCGGAAGTTTTTCGAGAATCCTTCGTGCCACCGCCCCGGCGTTCCCGTCACGGCGCTAAATTCCGCTAGAACAACCGTGCCTCGCGCCACCACGGCGTAAAGAATCGCCATTGAGAAATTTTTTATTAATTTCCTTTCGTTCGTTATTGCTTCGGTTCAATATTTCAATTTTCAAAAGACAAATTTTGTTTAAATATTCATGTAACAATAAGTTAAATCTCATTTTTAATTATTTTATAATGTTTTATTCATATATTATTATTTATATAGCAAAAAGAGTAAGTATATTTGAACAGTTAAGTAAATTATTCATCTTTATTCATTTATATTCCTTTAGTTATTCATATTTATTTATTTATTTATATTCTTTTAGTTAGTGGATTTTAGATCCATTAGTAATACTCGCTTTTCATTTTCTAAAATCCTTCCTTTCTCTTTCCTCTACGTAGATAAAAAGATCTACTAAATTTTCACTTGAATGTATCTATTGAACATTTATATATGAACGCTTTTGTAGATCATAAGTGAATATAGTTTTAGTAAGATGTATTTTATTTTTATTCACATTTTATACATTTTTCTTTATGTTATGCAATTTAAGATTATATTATCTTCATATAAAATTGTGAATTACTTTTTTTGAATATAAATTATAATTTTATTGTATATGATAAATTATAGATTTTAACTACACATATTCGAATATGATTAAAGTGGTTATCATTAGACCAAAGAAAACAATTAGGTGTCAAATTGCACCATAAAAGTTCCGACACCAAAATATATATTTACCCTTTTCAAAACGCTCTATGTTTATCATTTTGTTTCAGATACTTTGCTTGCTCGACACCAGATTATTAGGTCCAGCGTTGAGCTTTACAATGGAGGTTCAGCAGAGATATAATAATGGCAACCACATCTTCAAATTCCAAACAGAACCAAATAACAATGACAGATATATTTCTACAAAAACCGTGGGATTTTCCCCAAGCTTCTTCTAAAAAAAATAATCCTATTTTACATAAAATAATCTCTTTAGATCTTGCCAGTTATTTGTTGCCATGTTCCTTTAATCTACAATTGTGAAGAAGAAAGTCTGCCACTTCATCTGTTCCCAAATATCATCTTCACCGGCCTCTGCTGGATTATAGCGGTCGTCTCCATAATGTGAAGTGGCCGAGGAGCTTGTTTTCTCCATAATCACGGTGGCTCTCTCGGCATTTGTCGCTGCATTGTCGTGTGGTTCCACCGGTCGTCTATCGAATACTCGAGCACTGCCAGATACTGCGTAGACTCTACACAGACTGAATTCATGTCTCATCTAGATTCAGAAAAGGTAAACAAACATTTTTAAAAATGGAAGGTTTTTATGCCCTAAAGAACTATGCAACTATTTAATATAAGTTCACCTTAGGAGAAGCGGCAGCCGCAGATATTCCATTTGATTTTCCTCCCACAAGGGGCTTTTCCCTTAAAAAATACCATTGTTTTCTTTATTCCGATCTCGATGATCATCGTATGAGTAGACGTATTCCGGAGACCTCTCCACCTTCCAATATCCCGAAGTTGTAGTTCGGTTCGGTCTCCCTCCTTGAGCTTCCTTCTCTTGTGTTGGTGTAAAGTAAAACCATTGTTCTTTGTCTCCTTTACAAAGCTCCCCTGCAAGCTCTGCAACCACAAACACAAAAGGCTTACTTGCCGTAGAAGTCTTGTTTAATTATAGTGATTTGAAAACATAAAAGGGTGAAGAATAACACTTGGAAGGTCCCATGGATCTACGTCGTAAATATTCATGACTGGGATAACAAAGTGCATGTCCCGTCTCATGCCGCCTAACTGGTTACGTAGGTAGAATGAAACCAACTCCTCTTCGGTCGAAAAGAACCGAAAACCGACCGCTGGGGCCACTGCCATTTTCAGATACGTAGCTCTATGCGTGTTTGTGTTTGGAATGAGTAATGAATGTAAAATGGAATCGGTTTAAATAGCTTGTTTGCCGAGTAAATTTGGAAAAAAATGTTTCGATGGAGGAAACTTCCACACGGTTAGTATGACTCATCATCAACTAAAAGACAGTTTACCATTGAACAATGTCATTCAGTGGTCTTTGGAGAGAAATTTTCTAATTGTAAAGCGTGGGATGAGTACGACTCATCATCGGCTGCAGGAGAACGAACCAATTTCTAGCCATCATCTCTGCAAGTGAAACCACTGGCGACTCATCATAGGCTGTAGGAAAAGTTCACACCTAACATAAAATTTTGCGTTTGTCTATGATTATATGTAGGAAAAGTTCACACCTAACATAAAATTTTGCGTTCGTCTATGATTATATTGACGTTGTTAGGTTGAGGGGTTGTTTAAGAGTTACTGCTGGCCCCCCCTCATTTTGTTGAAGGGTGGGGTTTGATATAATTTTTCTCTTTGGCTTGTTTACGCTAGTTACTAGGTATTAATTTTGTAACTGGTTTTGTGCAGGTTAGTTCTTTTTGGATGAATAAAAACGTCATTTATCCAAAAAAAAATGAAATTAGACTGAGCCATCTCTTGGAGAGACGCAGTTGAACATGAAAATGTGTTTGGGTGGTAGCCGTCGGATGATCTTGGTTAAAAGCCAACCGGTAACCTTGGAATCTTCGATTAAAATTTGCTTCATTTCATCCATATTGTGCTTCATGTTGCATTTCTATGAATGAAATTTGAGCTTTGAAATATGCTCATCGTCAACAACAATGTTTGTCTATTGAGGTTAGTTCAATAATAGGACCAAAGAGTGGTTCCTGATGCTTATACCAGTTTAGTGGTTGATAATTGATGAAATGACTGCTAGAGAATGATATTATCTCATTCAACATTTCACATTACAACAGTTGAACATTTCAATTCTAATTTATATACTCAAATTATTAAACAAAATGCAAACATTACTTGAATCTAATCCAAATTTTGCATAGATCTCACACCTTTAACAAAATACTCAAATCAAGAACGCCCAAACTAAACCCAGAATTTCTTTCATCACTTCATTTTCTGAACTAAACCCATAATTTTTTTCATCGTTTTAGTTTCCCAATACTAAAAAAACTTGCATATCAAATTATATTTAAAGTTGTCTAAGAAGGTTCCTATTTGCCTTAGATCAAAAGGACTTGTCTACGATCACAAATCCATTTATTAGCTCTTGAATGATTACAAATCCAATGAGGATAATGCTACATGAGCTACGTTTTATTGATGAGCCATCAATACCACTGTACTTCCTTTTTCCATCAATATAGCTCCTAAATGCTAGTAATACAAATTTATATTCTAATGCATGACAAAGATATAGTGCTAATCATGACCAGTGAGAATCCACAAAACAAAGACCTTCCACTTTTTTCTTTTACCAAAGTTTATATTACCAGAAGTGCTTAATGCATCTAAGTGATCTCAGAGGTACCTGTGTCTATTTCAGCAAAGTCTCACGGTGTATAATCGTGACATGAACAGTTATAAATTATTCTATCCTCTAAAATTCAAAAGCTTCGGTTGATCACCCATTCTTACAAGTTACAAACTTACAGTAGCTTTGCTACCAAGGTTAAGACCTATTCAGGTTCCAATCAGTGCTAAACATATACGAGTTCTCTGGAGCACATTTATCTTCAGTGTGCTCTTGAGAATCTTGTTGGTGACTTGAACCGGGGTTTCAAATCGCGTTTCGAAAACGTGATTTCGTCCGCGAAATTGCGGTTTTGCCGCCGTCCGAGTTACCCGCTACACCCACAATAGCGCCCAATAGCACCCGCGACGGCCACAATCACGATAAACCCGAAATGAACGAAAATGCGACCGCGACTTGAAACCCTTACTTGAAAAGCAACTCAAAAGCTTAGCCATCGGTTGTTTGGTTTTTCCTTGTTAGATGATAATAAGATGGTGGCTTCCTTTTCCGGTTTCAATTAGCATTGGAACCAAAATAGACCAAAGTTTAATTATAGAACTCCTAGATAAGAACATACACTACCAAGCCAACCTACCATCATCATGCCAGAGCCCTTCACACTAACAGCAACTTATGAACAAGAAATCTCCAACACCATAAACCCAAGCAAAGTCAAAGCTATCAAGCCTCCAAGGAAAACCAAAACTAGGCATTCTACAATGATACCTCGCTGCATTCAACTGAAAACTATACACAAACTCCCTATCTCCGAACGTTCATCATCACAGACAGTGCGGATCCTTTCACACTTGCAATATATGAACAATCAACTTTCCAACATCTTAAACTGAACAAGAGAAGATCAAAGCAATCAAGGCACCAACGAAAGCCAAAACCAAGCATTCCACAAATGATACCTCACTGCATTCAATCAAAACCTAGACCACAAATTCCCATCTATCAAGCATTCATATTTCGTCATCCCAACCATACAAACCCCCTACCACTAGCAACATATTATCAAGAAACCTATGAACATCAAAAACCCAAGAAGAGAAATTTAAAGCTATCAACCCTCCACAGAAAGCAAAAACTAAGCATTCTACCATATTAACTCTCTGTATTCAACCAAACACTAGACTGCAAACTGCACAGCACCAGATAGTGCTATTATGCATAAAGCAATTTACTTTGATACAATATGCAACAATGTAGCAGACTGTAGACCTCCCTTGCTAGCAATAAAACTAGATAAGAGTTTGCTTTCTTTCATTTGACATGGATTACTTTTGATGACTCTGCAGTATGCATAAAGAAATTTTCTTTCAAGTTTCTATATTCTAACAATATAACAGCTCTAAACTATAACAAAGAGTTAAATTACATAATAAAAGAATTTAGACTTTGATTAAATTAATCGAATATTTATACTTTTCCATATCCAACATTCAATAATCAAACCCCGAAATGAATATTTAAAGAAAAAGAAAAACAAAACAAAACACAATTTCCTTCCTCAATTAATCAAGGAAACCAGTTTGTCTCCAAACAGCATTCCTTACCTGCCTTAGATCCCTTCCTTTTAGGGTTCTCCCTAAGCCTTCGAGCACTGAACAAGCCAACACAGGGGACTGGGCTAAGCTCCTGGCCACAATCTCATGCGGTGGCAACATTTCCCCTTCTTCCTCCAGCTCCATGTCGTAATCATAGTCAAAATCTTGTTTTTTCCTCATCGGTTTCGTTAACATCGGCACGTTAACAGGCGCCGATTGATGAAACCTTCCTGAAGAAAAATATGAAGATGAAACGACCGGGATTCGTTCTTGCGGCGGTTTAGGAATCGAAGGAATTGAACGAGCAGATGAAGCTGCTGAAGTCACCGAGGAGGAAGACGATGCCGATGAGGAAATCGAGGGTTTCTGGTAGAAATGGGATTGGGGGCGCGATGGGTCACGGATGGCAGCGAGGATTCCGAAGTTCTCGGAGTGATGGAATGATTTATGGTTAATGGGAGTGGAGGAAGGAGATGTTTTCTGCTGGTGGGAATTCGGGAGGCCTCCGACGGAGTTTGAGCCAGTGGAATTGTCGGAGAAGTCACCGGATAAGAAGATATCATCTTCATTGAGCTCTTCCGCGACGGAGGAAGAGTGGGAAGGGTTGTTGGGGAGCGGCGAGTGGGGGTAAACGCCGAGGAATCGGTCGGTCGGTTGGGATTTGGGGTGGCGAAAGCGGGAAGGTACGTTGATTTCCATGGTTGCCCTGGGTCAGATCCGTTGGTTTCTCGCAGAACCGTGGCGGCGGTTGCGTTTACATTTAAAATAGAGGTTCTATTTTAAAATATATATATTGTCGTGTGGAATGCTAGAGAGGAATGACGTGGAAAGGGCATAATAAGTATTAGGCCATTTGTTATTTTTGTTCCATATTATATTACGCTTTTCTTTGAAAAAAAAACTTGTTCCATGTCTATTGTATTGAGTAAACTACAAAAATGGTCACTAATATTTTAGTAAATTTTCTTTTTTATTATTAAAGTTTTAAAAATAATAAATTGATCACTAACATTATCGATTTTAAATAAATCGGTCCCTGACGCTAATAACCGTTAACATGGGTAAGAAAGCTGATGTGGTGAACTAACCGACTGACCTGACAATTTTGTCGCCAGGAAAGACCCCTTTTGACTCCCCCGTACTGAATCAGAAGACCCCGTACTCAAAAACCCAGTCATTCCACTTCCAGCTACTGAATCTGAAGAGTTACCTTTCAATTCTGTATCTTAGTTTTTCCCACGAACGCAGGTTATCACCAGGAATGTGTTTCACCAGCTTCTTCACTAAAAAATACAGACACGCAATCTCTAATGTTTGTTCTGTTGTTGAAATGACTGTATCACTGTATGGGTTGTCGAGTGTTTTAATGTTTAGTCACTGTGATGTGGGATTTAGGATGAGTTAAAGTTCCTTTATGCCTCCCCACCATTGAAATTAAAGTAGCTTATACATGCTAGATTATAAGCGGTCCTGCAAAGAAGTTGGAGAAAATGGAACCTTCAATACCACTGTTGCTAATAGACCACAGGCGCCACAATTACAGGCTTTCAATGTAGCTATCTATGAATATGCTTAAAAAACTTTGGTGGTCCTTCTTCCTCACTCAAATTTGTTTTACTTTCACTGAGAAAGCTCCAAAATTAAGCCGACTCCTTATCCTAACAGTGGGAAGACGCGTAGTACATAAATGATTAAAATAATAAATAAAGTCAATACTTCATAAAAAAATTTAAAATATTATAAATAAATCACAATATTAAAATATCAAATTTCAAGATTCAAACAACAGGTTACGTCTAAAATAATATTAAACAACTCCAATCAAACATTGTTAACATCTTATGATATTAACTCGTTCTCCATAAATAAACCATAAACAAATCTCAAGACTCAAATCACAATATTAATTCTAGAAAAATAAAATCATAAACAAACTATAATATTAAGTCTAAAACACTAAAATCATAAACAAATCTCAAGATCGATACAATAGGCTTTAGCATTTAAGTTAAAAGCTTTTGTTGTTGCTGCTAGACGAAAGTCAGACCCCTCTTTCTCGCCGCCACTGCCAGTAACTTACCGGCTTTGGAATTTACGGTTTACGTCCACCTTTCTTGGTTGGTGTTGCAACTTCCATGTCTTCATCGCTGATGTTGATTTCGCCTATACTTTCTGAAATAAACCAAAAAATATTCTTGTGGCTGTTGTAAAATTTATTTTAATGAAAAATGTCAAAAATACCCCTGGGACGCATGTGATAGTCATATGTCGTGACCGAAACGTCTCCAAGTATGAATCAAACGTCTTCGAGTTCGTTCAGTTGTACTCCGCCAATGTAGCACATCCCTGATATGCACCTCAGCCGTCCCTATGTCGTCTCCATGCCAGTGACGTGTTGAATACTTAAAACAAGATTCCTTTGTCGTCCCTGAGCTTCATAGTTTGTATGTGGATCTTATGCATCGAAACACATAGAAGAGGATGGTGATGATTTTTTAGTGTGAAGAAATAAACAGAAGTAAGGGGGGAAACTAATGGCTAAGGTGATAACTTGAAGAAGTATGATCAGTCTGAGAAGTTGATGAGCTTGAGGGTTATAAACATGATTTAAATAGTAGTATGTTGTCGAGATAGCATATATTATATAACTGTAATAGTATCGTCCAAAATTATTATTATACGATCGCTATATATACATATAATTATCATAATAGCACTCATTATATCTACAATACCAATTAAAGCAACATAATAAAAAATACGATCGTAACCACGATTTAAATCTCTAGATACGACGATATTCCTTTTCAGAAAGTGACCATCCTATTATTTTGAGTGGACCAAATTCAACCTTTAATCTGCCATCTAAAGTTGCAAAAATGTTATATCTGCATCAACGTTAAGTCTTGAGATGGCTTTGGTCTTTACATTATCAGGGTAAGGGTGGAATCATAGGGGATTATATGGGTTTGGGAAAAACAATGCAGATAAGGAAAGGTGTGCGAGTCTTATATATTTATATATTTTGTATATATTAATGTGGAATCTTTCTCATCTGTTATTTTGGTAGATTTGTGGCTTTCTAACAGGATTGTAAATGCCTGTATATGTGGGTGGGTTTGGGTTTACAGTATCCCATGGGCGATGGGTTCTCCTTCTGTAAAACCAATCCAAAAATAGGCCCAATTTGAATCGATCCCTATTTCTTACGTTTTCCACAACTTTTCAAGTCTTCATCGCTTCAATTCAGCTGCTTGGTAGGCAATTTCTCTCTTACCCCATTTCGTTCGCTCTTTCCCTCTACTAATATCTCAATTTTGTTTTAGATCTTTTAATGCAAGTTCTTCGATGGAAAGTTTTAGTTTACTTACTGTAATTTAATCTGATGAACTTTGTTATGCTCGATTTAATCCTTGCTGGGGGTTTACTACATCGGATTTACGAATGAAATAAAAAAGTTGGAATGAATTAAATGAAAATGGGAAATTAGAACCTGGATTTTAGTTTAAAATCAAACTACTTCGAAATGAAGTTTTTGCTTTGTCTTGTATATGCTTTAGTCCTTTAGGTCTCCAAAGCCTGAGGGTTTGATTAGTTTTAGGAAATCATTTGATTTCTTTTGTTTGAAGTCGATGTGATTTTTAATCTTTTTGAATCATGGTGTTATAGTTTTAATTTGACCATAAGTTCTTTTATCTGTGAGAAATTGGCTTTGTTTGATGGTGGTAATATGAGGTTATTGGTTCTGCTCCTTTTGGTTGCATGATTGTCTATGCAATGCTGATTGCAGGTATTATATAGTCAACTACAATGGCAACCAGAACAGCAGTTAGATACATTTCTCGTAGGTTCTCGAGTGGGAGTGGGAAGGTACTCAGTGAGGAAGAAAGGGCTGCTGAAAATATTTACATCCAGGTACTCATTCTTTTCAAGCTGTTTTCATCATTTACCATTAGCATATAAATATCAGCATTTTGGTGTGTTCTCAGGGTTCTTTGTTTGTGTTAACCTTATGGTAATCGTTTTTGTTTAAACTCCTTTCGTTTTGTTTATTCCCTATATATTTTATTATGCTCCCTTTTGTGATTTTCTGAACTTTCCTAGTTCCTACTAGGTTGTCTTTAGGCCTGTGAAGTGTCAAATTGTTTATCCTTTTATAGTCTTTCATTCAACTTGGGATTACTGATAAGTTGGTAATGATCATAATATTCTCTCGGAGTTAGTTACCGAGAGGTTCAAAGATCTGGAAATGGGATCATCCATTTAAAAGAATAAAAAAAACATGCTGGCCTAGTAAATTTGAAGTGTGACTGTGACAATAATTATCCTCCTTGATCTCTCTTCTGTTTCTCACATCACAGTCAGATTGCTTTGTATTTTAGAGGAAAAGCATTGCTGCCTTTGGTAGTGTAAATAATATCTTTGAAATGGTCTAGTTTTAGTTTCTGAGTTTATATACATGTTACTCAAATGGAAAATATTATAGATTTCATGGTAATCAATGGTGTTCAAGGTATGTACCTCATAATGTATATATATCGAGCATCATAGATGTTTGTGACTAAATGTTGCAAGTCGATCTGTTAAGCTTCTCTTCCCCTCTCTACTTTTTTCTTTCCGCTCGTTTTCTCTCTTCCTTTAGATCGCTTCTGCAAAATGTCCCACACCATGTGTATTTACTTCATCTTTCATGTTATGATTTGCTACGTTCTAAAAAAGTTAAATTATTGCAGAAAACTGAGCGAGAGAAATTGGAGAAACTTGCACGCAAGGTATGTACTTATATTATGTTGAACTATTTGGACCGAAAATCCGTGGAGATGCGGATAAGATGCTTAAAATTATTTTTAGCTGTGTTTTTAATATTTTAATACTCAAAGTATTCAGCTTACGATTGTGTTCCCACCATGATATAATATTACAACAGCTAATGATACATGCACAAACACTTGCAACTTCACATGCCCTTACGGAGTCGCGTACAGTCATGAAATTTTACATTAGCAGCCGATCTGCTATAGCAATTCATGTAGTTGTGAATTTTCTGTTAAATTGTAAAGATTTGGTTCTGTAACGGTTTAATGATTAGGGTCGTTTTTTTAACTTGTGATGACCGTGTGTATACGGAAAATTCGAGTTGTTTATATAAAGAATAATGGTCAAGCATTCAAATAATTGTTGAAATACCTCAGGGACCCAAGCCAGAGGAGAAACCCGACACAGGTTCTGGGAGAACTGCAAGTGATGCTAATCCTAGTAGCAATACCTCAACATCTGGAGCATCTGCCGAGCGATAAGTTTCAAACTACGGAATTCTAGCCGGTGTTGCAACCCTTGGTGCTGCTTTGGGATGGTATCTGAATTCTAAAGATAAGAAGCAAGAAGTGCGGGAGTGAGGTTAATGTAATCGGATTCTGGCATGAATAGTTTGAATGACTGAAAAATAAATCAAACTTTGTAAAGCAGTTTACGATGTGCTTCAGATAACAGCTTGTGTGAATGATACTCAACCGGAGGAATGAATCAACCAAATTTTATAATATTTCTTACACGTCAAATTTCAGATTCTTATTTTAGGTGGATATAATTTCTATATTATAATTTGACTTTTTTTTTTATTTGAAAGCAATGTCAAACCAATGTATCCGGCTGTATGGATAAAAACTAAAAAAAATCAATAGTGAGATGATGTACTAGATCTTTTCGAGTTA